TATTAAATCAACATACTACGGAATTGTTCATTACTGTTACTAGATGTTAATTATTTGGCAGTTGTAACAAATATAGTAATTAAAAAAAAATCCCTTATAGTTAAAATAAACATATATGTATACATATATATATATATATATATATATATATATAACTAGTCATTTACATTTATATTATTATTATATTAAAATTTTCTTTATTTCTTTTCCAGGATGAGGTCCTAGCAATATCCGAGAAGGTAGTTCTTCGTCTCGAAGACTTAGTAACATGGATGACAGCAGCCGAAGAGGTTCCATGGACCCGAGGCTTGCAAGCAGTGTGGTACCGTCACGGATTGGGGGGCCATCCTAGGTTATTGTTAAATAATAAAGATAACAACAATGAATGCATTAATAAAACCGAAATCAAAGAGAACACTGAAAACGGTGGCGTCATCTGTGATCAGAAGATGGAAGTCGACGATAAAATCGGTTTGGATACCGGGTAAGAAATTGAATGATACTAGTGCAATAGTAAAATTAGCCAATTTTTTTAAATTTGAAAATTTGCTTCATTTGACTTAAATACATACATTGATAATGTAATATTGTTTGCATATATATATATATATATATATATATATATATATATATATATATATATATATAAACCTTGTGGCACGATGTTGGTTCGCGATGGACGCCCAAACTACTGAACCGATTTTAAATTTTATTGGCTCATCATGTGCATATATATCCAACTTAGGTTATAGGAAATTTTGAAAAGTAAATTTAAAACATAAATATATGATTTTTATAAATTTCTAAAAATTTTGACAGAAAATGACCAAAAAAACAAAACATTAAAATGACAAATATCAAAATTTATGGAAAATTCGAGAAAAAAACATTTGATTTTTTCAGAAACATATACATATATAGATATATCCAACATTTATATCCAAATTAGATGAAATGCTTTATTCAAAATCACTGTTTATAGTTTTGAATCTAATTAAAAATCAATGTTTATATATTTAAATAAATGTTGACACGAAAAAAAGTGAAATGTCATTTGTCAATATTTATGAAAATAATTAGATAAATAAATTTATAATTTATATTTATTTGATTAGCTTACCAAATTATTTCGGATACCAAAAATAGATCACAATAAAAAAGCGACTTATTGAATTTAAAATTAATCATAATCAAAATTTTGACAGTTCAAAAAAATGAATTTTTAACGACTTCAATAAGAAACAAATACATTAATTATTCCAAGTTATGTTATAGGCAATATTGCCAAACAAATTATAGATAGAAAACATTATTGTAAAATAAATTTTATCATATTATATTAATTTTCGACCAAGACGGAATAGTGCATATTGGATATATAAAATTGACATTCACTATTTTTCAATTAAATGCAAATGTAAAAAATCAAATATTTATATAAAAAATTGCATATTTAAATAAAGATTCTGCGTTGATTTAGTCTAAAATCTAACTTATTCATTAATTTAAATAATGATGCGAGTGATTTAATTTTTGAAGTATGAAATGCCAAATAATTTTGAAAATTATAACAAGTTTTTAACTATTTGTCAGAAAGAATATATATTTTATTACAAATTCATACCCATATCAAGCACCAAAGTAATAAATACTATTTATAAAATGATATATTATTTATAGATAATGTGATTTTAATGCATATTTTAATATGTTTTGACATTTGCTAATTCAAAATAAATTAAAAAGAATTGAAAACAATGTCATAAATCGGATATTTATGGAAAAATATCAAATAAATATATTTATGTTTCACTTGATTTCAAATAAGAAATATAAAAAAAAATAATTGCGATGCCAAAATAGATTTTTTCTAAATTTCTTATTTTGCTTATGCTAAGACCATAAATGGATCACAAAGGCAAGACATAAAACAGGATATTAAAAAGTATATGAGAGAATATTAAAAATTCTGAACTTTTGAAATGTAGATGTGGGTACAGGACAAAGTCTGTCGGGTCATCTAGTATATATATATATATATATATATATATATATATATATACAATGGTGTTGTGCTAATATTTTTTTTGCCGGAATGCTAAAATTTAAAATCCGGTTAATAAAATTTGATATACTTCGATAAGACCTCACAAATGTAATATATTGACTTATTATATAATTAACTCTATTATACACAGCTAGTCTATACATTAAATTGTACAAGTATGAGGGAATCATTGAGTACATAATTTATATTCTTCAATGACATTAATTATATTTATTTTGGTATTATTTGTACTCATTAATACCTACAGGTATTTATTATGATATAAAAGTACTCAAGATTTATTACAATACTTATAAGACTTATCTTAGTAATATGATAGATAACCTATTACCTATCATACTATATTATATTATTGTATATCATCGATAGATATCTATTATCTATCATACTGTGAGATACCTATACCGTCATTAACTTATTATATACCCTACATACCTTTTACTTCTTATAAATACTACTGTCTAATTTATATATATTCACCTATACTATATAGGTTTACCTTACGCCCTATGTATTATCTCTACCTATCTATTGCCTATACCGGGAATTGAACCCGGGACCTCCGCGTGGAAGTCGCGCGCCTTAACCACTACCCTATCGGATACCCCCACTAATAATATAATATGGGACGCACTGTTGTTTCCGCGGGTCATTTTCTAATTAATTAGATAATTAATACCGAGGTGCGCGCGACGACTCGCGAAAAAAGACGGTTGATTGTAGCGTTACGGTGGTGTAGTGGATAAGGTCGTCGCGTGCTACGCGGCGGACCCGGGTTCGATTCTCGGTAGGGTTAAAGGGAAATTATAGGTAATAGGATATTAAGTAGATATAGGTTAGGTGTATTCGGTATACAATGTAGGGATTTGAGAGTATATGATGAAATATAGCGTATGGTATAGATGTAAGGCGTGTAGTATAGAATGCAACGTATAGGCACACGTAAGGCTATAAAAATACACGAATAGGAACCTATGATGTAGATGTTAGCGTATAAGAAATGCGAATGTAAGATTTGATTTATAAATATTATTTTTTCTATAAGAAGTTCATACACCTCAATTTGTTACTAAATTAAAAACGACTTTGATAAAACCAGGTTTTGTGCTAATATTTTTTTGCCGGAACGCTAAAATTTAACAACCGGTTCTAAAACCGGTTTTCGTGTTTTTCCAGTTCCGTTCAAAAAGGAAAGAAACAAAAATTATTACAAAACCCATTTTGTGCACAATGTAATAATAACGCATAAAATTTACTTATTAAATCATTTTCTGTATGTAGCGATGTTTTTATATTTTTTCTTGCCGGAACGCGTTCCGTCCCAAAAATGTTTTGCCGGAACGACGTTCCGGCGCGTTCCGGCTCGACAACACCACTGTATATATATATATATATATATATATATATATATATATATACATGTTTCAATTAACTTATATAAGTATAAAAAGAGCTATTAAAAACATACTGCCATTAATAAAGTGGTTCAAATTTATCGTTTTCTTGTTCTTTTTTAGGTTGGAGTTTGCTTCAGTAAAGTCTGAGTTTCCCCGAGACGACTTCGGGGTTGATGTTGCCAAAAGAAACGAATCGACCAGGTATGTCGAGAAGATTGACAGAATGAGGATTGAGAATGAGTATGTAAAGACCAAATTGGAGGTTATGTACGAGGTTAAGGACTTTAAGGAGTTCAACGGGAAGAGGAATGTTATGTTGTCGCATTCCAAATTGGAGTTGGCTGATGTCGATAAGGAGAAGGAGAATCTGGGTAAGTAGACTAATAAAACAATATGAAATTTTCATGAAAAGTATTTGGATTATTAAATTTTCATAAACACTATTTTGTTTGAACCTTAGTATTCTTACTTCTTATTTAATTGCGATAGAGGAATAAAAACAGATAAATTATAGAGAGATAGAGATAGAAATAAGGAAATATGGCTAATAATTAATAGAAATAGAAAGATAAAAAAAAGTGAGATAATCTTAAATGCGACATATAATTAAATAGATAGATAAAGACAATTTAATAAAAAGAATATAGTTAGAAAAAAAGAGAAAGAAAGAAATAGGTATAGAAAAAAAGGAAGAAGAAACAGGTACAAGAAAGAGAAAGAAAGATATAGAAATAGAACGAGAAAGAGATAGCGATAGGGCAAGAGAAGGGTAGAAAAAGCGCTAGACAGAGATAGATATAGAAAAATAAAAAAAGAACAAATAAAACAATTTAATTTACTTTAAACGTTATTATTTTACGCTTTTTATTTGTTAATTTTGATTTCTCATTTATTGATTTGACGTCTAAGAAGTTTTACTTCAACAGCAAATATTAAACAAAAGATTCTATTTTATATGATTATTAGTTTGAAGAAAATTCAATTATTATCATTATTAAGGTTCTTCAAACTAATAATTATATTGAGTCGAATTTTTGCAGTTCAATTATTGCAGTTGAAGTAAAACTTCTTAGGCGTCAAATCGATGAATGAAAAATCAATATTAATAAATAAAAAGCGGAAATTATTAACGTTCAAAGAAAATCCTTTTTATGAAAATTCTATATTGATTTAGTGTTTGCTCTCTTTATTTTTCTATCTCTATCTCTGTCTAGCGCTTTTTCTATACCTCTCTCGCTCTATTGCTATCTCTTTCTCGTTCTATACCTATTTCTGTCTTTCTCTTTTTTCTATACCTATCTCTTTCTTATTTTCCCAACTTGTCTATCTTTTCCTTTCCTGTTTTTTTTATAATTCTCAATCAAATCAATAAATGAGAAACCAAACTATTATTATTTTTTGTCCATTTTGCTCTTTAGATACAATGACGTCAGTAAAACTTCTTAGGCGTCAAAACAATAAATGAGAAATCAAAATTAATAAATAAAAAGTTATTAACGCTGTAGAAGATCAATCTAGACATAGACAAAACAAATACAAATTTGTTTATTTATTATTTACCAAATTGGCAAAGTTTGGTACATTTCACAAGTGCACTTATAAATGTTACAAAAAATATCATGATTATTGTTTCGATAACAATAATTTCCTAAATGTCAACTGCTCCTCGTTTTTGTCTTCCTCAAAATTCTGCTCAGTTTGGCAGCAGACGTCTATGTAACTCTGAGGACACGGGTGACTAAAATAAAAAAAAGATACATATATAACTACGTGAATAATCAGGAATTTTTTTTATCGTTCATTACCCGTCGATTATTTTCCCTTTGCAAACCCTCCAGTTCATGCAGACGCAGTCGTCGCCGTCCTTTAATTTGTGAATAAGTCGCTCAGCCGGAGCCCGCACTAAAATGTCGCCTTCTTTGATGACGTCATTGTATCTAAAGAAAAAAATAGACAAAAAATATTAATAATTTTTTTTATCATTTATTGATTTTATATACATTTATAAAAAACAGGAAAAGGAAAAAAAATGAAAAAGGTATAGAAAAAGAGAAAAAAAGAAATAGGTGCAGAACGAGAAAGATATAGCAATAGAGCGAGAGAGGATAGAAAAAGAGACAGAGATAGAAAAATAAAGAAAGAGCAAACAATAGAAAAATACAGTATTTTCATTAAACGTTAATATTTTTCCTTTTTTATTTATTAATTTTGATTTCTCTTATATTGATTTGACGCCGAAGAAGTTTTACTTCAACTACAATAATCGAACAGAAAAGTCTATTCAATATAATTTATTATTAGTTTAAAGAACTGTAATAATCTTATTGATTTTCATGATTATTTCGAACTTATTGAAAATTCTTCAAACTAATAATTCAATTGAATAGAATTTTTTGTTCAATATTTGCTGTTGAAGTAAAACTTCTTAGGCGTCATCAAATCAATAAATGAGTAATCAAAATTAACAAATAAAACACGCAAAATATTAACGTTGAAAGAAAATCCTTTTTATGAAAATTCTGTTTACTCTTTCTTTATTTCACTATCTCTGTCTCTGTCTAGCGCTTTTTCTATCGCTCTCTCGCTCTATTGCTATCTCTTTCTCGTTCTATTTCTATATCTTTCTCGTTCTATTTCTTTCTCGTTCTATTTTTGTATTTCTATTTCTTTCTCTTTTTCTTAACTATACCCACTCTGTTTTTTCTTGTTTTTTTAATAATTTTTTTTTATATTTCTATCTACGAGTTTTTCCTATTTATATCTCTATCACTCTGTAATATATTTATTAAATTTTATCTCTCTATAAAAATTAAATAAAAAGTAGAAGCATTAAGGTTTGAAGAAAATACTTTTTATGAAATTTTCTTTAATTTTATATGTTCTTTGCTCTTATAACTCTTTTTTTTATCTTTTTCTAACGCTTTTCCTTTACCTATTTTTTTCTATCTCTTCAAATTTTTAAATTTTTCTTCATTCCATATCTATTTATCCCATACCTATTTAAGTGTCTTTGGATTCTCTCTCTTTTTCTCTCTCATACTCTTCTATCTCACTCTATCTTATATCTATCTCACTCTATCTATATATCTATCTCACTCTATCACAACACACTAAAACAACACAAAATCATCATAAAAAGGATTTACTTTCAACGTTAATATTTTTCCTATTTTTATTTCTCGGAATCATTCGGAAGGATTCGCTACTGTTTGGTTTTTGTTGTACTTAGGTTCATGAACAAAGTATGTTCTATGAAATACGTAGTCCCTTACGAAACAAATTAGCTTTTTTTTCTCTTCCTATAAATATAAATTTTATAGAAAAAAGGGACTCTACTGACGAGCAAACTGATTTCCGGAAGGTTGTAAATTTGCAAGGAAAAAGGGACTCTATGACTCTCTCTCTTTCTCTAATACATATATTTCAACCCTTTTATATCTTTTTCTGTCTTTCTGCAATAAATCTATATTTCTTTATATCTATCTCTATATCTTTTTCCTATTATTTTCCTCTTTTCCCAATGACAATAAAGTTACTATTCTTTCATTTTTATTTACATATTTTTTATTTTACTAACCTGAAATATTCGGAAATTTCCACCGCGTCGTCTTCGGGCTTGTTGTCCTTAAATTGCACCACTTTCAAATGTTTCTCCTCGTCGATATTATTTTTGGGGTCGTCCGAAATCAAATTTAGGCCCCATTCTTGGCCAGAGCATAAATTCGAGAGCGTAAGGCCAAGGAGGAATAGTGCGGCCGCCGGTCGAAACATCCTTGAGGAAAAAAATAGAGATAAAATATATATGTAGGGAAAAACCTGAATATATTGGTCATAAGTGGTAATGAGAAATTAGTCATGGGAATTTTTTAACCGCAAGATAACGAATGGTAAATGAATTTTATTTTTTTATATTAATGTTTATTGTTAGCTCGTTTTTATAGGGTTTGTAGTACTCTCGTTTTTATTGGATTAAAGTATTCTGATATTAAATTTAAATATTACTGATTCGATAAGGGATAAGACATAGTTTAATATAGTTAAATAAATAATTTTAACATATTCTAGTTTAGCACCACAGATTTTAATTTGATTATAAAATTAAGTTGAATAAGTCTGTTATCGATTAAGCACTCTATAATATCTTACTAAAACAACAGAAGGCTTTTATAATTGTCAGATTGTGAAATTTTAGTAAATTACTTATATCACCTCACCCTTCACCGCAACCCTTATATCTAAAAAATAAAAATAAATTACATTTTAATAAATTTTTGGTGAATTTGTTGAAATAAATTTTTATTATGAAAAAGTGGAAGGGGAAAAAAGATATAAAAAAGAGAGAGAGAGGAAAAATATAGATAGAAATATAGAGAGAAAATAGGAAGATAGAGAGATAAATAGATAGAAAAAGAGGGAGATAGGTAGAATAAATAGAAAGAGACATAGATAGATAGAAAGAGAGAGATAGGTAATAAATAGAAAGAGACATAAATAGATAGAAGGAGAGGAGATCGGTAAATTAAATAGAAAGAGACATAGATAGATAGAAAGAAGAGATAGGTAAATAAATAGAAAGAGACATAAATAGATAGAAAGGGAGAGATCGGTAAATAAATAGAAAGAGACATAGATAGAAAGAGGGAGATAGGTAGATAAATAGAAAGAGA